TATCATGTAAAATGTTTTCACTTTGCTTAATAAAAAATATATCTTTAATTTATAGGAGCGAAGTTACAAGTGAATATTATTATAAAGTGCATATTCTTATTACCGTAAATATACCATAGTTTACTTGTTTGTTTACTTTTGTTATATGATATAAGGCTAGTTTTAGAGTGAATATTATGATAAAGTGCATATTCTTATTACAGTAAATATACCTTAGTTTACTTGTTTGTTTTATATGACAGAAGGCTAGTTTTAGAGTAAATATTATGGTAAAGTGCATATCCTTATTACAGTAAATATACCTTAGTTTACTTGTTTGTTTTATATGACAGAAGGCTAGTTTTAGAGTAAATGTTATGATAAAGTGCATATCCTTATTAAATCAAATATACCTTAGTTTACTTGTTTGTTTGGTTTTGTTACATGACAGAAGGCTAGTTTTAGAGGTGATGTAGAGAAATTATACTTTTAGATATTAATTAATTTAGAATGTCAAAAATAGTGCATACGTATACAAAATAAATGAGAATATTTACACCTTTCTGGTCACAATTTAATTTTTGATTTTGACCATTTGGAAATTTGTTGAAAGAAAAACGCGAAGCTCAGACTTGTACTTTATTCACCACTTTAAACTTGCAAGTTCAATCAGAAATTATTAATGTTTCAACTTAAAACATATGGTAAAGAATCCATATATTTATATATATCTCAAAAATAACAGCGACTCGTAAAATACTTTTAAGGATTAGGTTTCGAACATTTTCCTGTGGTTAAGCACAAAGCTACACAATATATTATTTGTGCTCTGCCCACTGCGGGTATCGAAACTCGATTTGTAGAGTTATAAGCTCTCAGACTTACCGCTGAGCCACCGAAGGAGGAGGGATGTTTGAGACATAAAATGTGTCATGAAACAAATATTAAAGTGTCTGAATGTAAGACAACGGTGTCTCAAATTAAAACGTAGATGTTTTAACTTGAGACGCTAAATTTGCTTCAAAAGTTTTGAAATAAAATATAGTTTTACTTTTCATTTTGTGTCTCAAACTGATACATTTCATTTTATAGCGTACAGTCAGAAAAAATTAATTTGTCAATCCTTTTACAGACTTCTGTAATGAACAATAAAAACAGTGAGCAAAGACGAAAGTTTATTAAAATTCAAATAAATTCAAAACCGATTACTTATGTTATAATTTGGATCCCCAAAGAAGATTCCAATATTTAAATGATGTACATAAGGATCACTTGCTGGATATACAGAAACTCAAGGTGTTACCCACGCTATTGTTCCTAACATAGTTGACAAATATTAATATTGCTCAAAACCACACTATTTAGTTTAATTAATAATAATAATAAAAAAATTAGCCTATGTACTTCTGTTGTCCGGTCACTAGTTATAATAACAGGTTGTTGTATGATGCGTTTAACATAACATACGAGGAATTATAAAATCAACAATTTACCTGCAATGCTTATTTAACGATAAAAAGCTAGATATATTTTCCCATAAACTAAGTAACGTCGAATATTATAAAACGTTCCATTTATTATCAATAATTAGCGTCTTTTTTTTAGAACGCTTTTATACAGTTATGTGTTCAATAAGTATTATTAAACAAATCACTATATTTTAGCAGGTAATCTTTCAAACTTGTATTTCGCCTGCACCACCTTTACATGTTTTTTACGAATCTCGTGCAGCAGTTCTTAACCAGGCCCGACATGGCCAGGTGATTTGTTTGTTTGAAATTAAGCACAAAGCTACACAATGGGCTAGTTGTGCTCTGCCAACCACAGGTATCGAAAACCGGTTTCTAGCGTTGTAAGTCCGCAGACATACCGCTGTGCCACGTGGGGGGGGGGGGGGGGGGCAGGTGATTAGGGAGTTCGACTCGCAATCTGCAGGGCGCGGGTTCGAATTCCCGTCACACCAAACATGCTCGCCATTTCAGCCGTGGGAGCGTTATAATGTGACGGTCAACCCCACTATTCGTTAGTAAAAAGAGCAGCCCAAGAGTTGACGGTGGGTGGTGATGACTAGCTGCCTTCCCTCTAGTCTTACACTGCTAAATTATGGACGGCTAGCGCAGATAGTCCTCGTGTAGCTTTGCGCGAAATTCTGCGAGTATGCCTCAAAAAGGAAGCAGGCTATAGAGTAGAGAAAGAAAGCAGAAAAACAAAACAAATACTCTATGAGAAAATAAGATCTACATGATAGTTCATATCTTTCTTTATTATTTTTTTGTTTTTAAACTTAGAATGCTTTATAATTTATATGGTCTTAACGCCTTTTCCAAATTGGCAAAACACGGTTATAATTAATTATGCTTTGCATAAGGCATCAGTATTAGACCTATTATATTTTTAACACTACCTCTTTTATTTAATTTCTTAGGGATTTTCAAGAATTACGACAGTGTATAATAATAATAATAGCATTCCAACCACACCGTATCCATTGCCGATGACGCATTTTGCCCAATCTAGAGCTCATCAGGCCGGCTGGGTCACAACAAACTCCATAGTTTTCTTTTTTTGAAATCCCATTATATACACTGATTCCATTAAATAACAAAAATGGTTGAGTGAAAAAATCGACCAAAAATTTGGGTAGGTAAAAATTTCAGCCCTGTTGACACCTGTATAACATTAACATCCTTAATCAAAATAGAATATATTTCAGACTTAACAAATGGTCCAAAAACTCATGTATCAGGTTAATAATGGCTGAAGACGGCTTGAATGGGTAATGAAGAAAAACTTTAATACAACAGCAAATGTACAACGTTTCGACAAGGTGATGACAAAACCTTGTCGAAACGTTGTACATTTGCTGTTGTATTAAAGTTTTTCTTCATTACCCATTC